ATTAGGTGCCTAACATTCCCCTCTAAGTAAAGTGGTACGGTCCAACGTGGTTGCGTGAGCTGCACTGTGTGGCGGAGAGTGATAAGAACTCTACGCACTGATATTAAATAGGTTAAAAAAACAAAACAAATTGTAATGTGGTGTTTGACAAAAGACAACTCGGAGGGTTAATAAGGTACAAATCTATAAATATTAAAAATATATGGGGACATGGGGCGTGCCTTTTAGCCCCCAGTTTTTAAATATTTAAAAACCCCATGTTCATTTATAGACTAGGAAAAAAAATCAAAAAAGAGGCCTAGAAATCAAGTTAGGGGGAGTGGAATGTTAGAAGCAGTCAACATAGTCAGATATCCTAATTAATCCGCCCTGGTCACCCTAAGCCTTGTTGACACTTGATTTTTCACCTGGTATACAAATGGCGGCCATTTTTCAAAATGGCCGCCAAATTTATCTAAAATGTGCATATAATTGGAACTAAATAAGCTACAGATAAGATGTTGGTGTCTAAAATCATAATTTCTATACATGCAACAAACCAGACATATAAAAACTACTGTCACTCATGCCAGATTGGAACATAATTCAAAAATAGGTGTTTATTTGTTTTAAAATATCCGCAAAATATACTTAAAATGTGTATAAAATAAGAATAAGTATATAAACTCACCAAAGAGTAGTCGTGTTTGGTATCGTTGGAAAGCTCTTCCGATGCTGAATAATGTATTGCAGTTTATATATCAGAAACGGTGTAGTGTTTCATGTATTGTCCCATAAAGTCCAATTATGGCATATCATAAAATAAACAGGAAATCATATCTGTAGCTTATTTAGTTTCAATTTTATGCACATTTTAGATAAATTTGGCGGCCATTTTTCAAAATGGCCGCCATTTGTATTCAAGGAGTAAAATCAAGTGTCAACAGGGCTTATGGTGACCAGAAGGGATTAATTAGGATATCTGGCTATGTGGATTGCTTCTAACATTCCACTCCCCCTAACTCATTTTTTTCAGATTTTTTTTCTAGTCTATTATTTTAACGCCGAATAAGGTAATTGAAAGAAGACGAGTATGTTGTACAGTACGGTAACACGTGCTGAAATACGTTGTGTTAGGGAACTTAGATTAATCACAATTCCCTGGATTTAATAACTTTAGAAGAAATGTAATTACGTTGTCTATTTTTGCAACTATTGCTTGCTCTTTGAAGAATTAAAATGCCTAACGTTCAAGGCACACTTGATGAGAAAACCATGTGACTGTGAGCTCAGATTGAGATTCACATTTATTTTTTATATTTTTTATTTCAAAACGGAAATTACAGTAGCTGCAAAAGTACCGGTACATAGCAGAAAAAACACTAAAACTCAACAGTTAAATGGTATAGTAAACGTGTTTTTGTAAGTACATAAGCCTATTCAATCAGTTTAAATTTTTAATTTACTGACTGCTTTTGAAACCTCTTGTGGAGAATGGTACAAAGGAATTATGATAACGAATAATTTTTTAGGTGATATTCACTCATTTAATTTTTTTTTCATTTTATAATTTTATAATGACTGAACAATGTAGTTGAATTTTCCTGCAACTAGAATCAAATTAACATATCTTTATCTTGAAATACGGTAGCATATATCAGATAACCTCCTCAAATAAAGCAACGGTACTAACAGGGGTGGATCTAGGTTCACATTTAGGGGCGGGGGGGTCAGACTTTTTTTTTTTATATAAAACGCCAAAAAAAAAAATTGATCACTATGGCAGGAAATGAGCTTTCCCGACTTCTGAGGTGAATTTTAATGACTTTTTTAAATTTTAAGGTTTTCTTCCGCCTATTTTTTTAATCATTGATGTCAACAAACTGTGTGTTTGTTGTTTTAAACTTGTCTGGTCAATTTATTTCCAAAGCGGTCTTGTATTAGATGTCATTTTGTTACTTGGGACTTTAACATTGTGGTCACGGTCTGGAATTAGAGGGGTCCCAGAATTAGAATGCCTCTAGAATTGGAGGGTAAACATCTATTTTTTTTTCTATTTATTGAGTTAATGAATAATTGAACTAATGTCTTGATGATGTAATAAATATATAAACAAACGGTAAAACGAATGAATAAACTTAACCCTCAGTCTCTCCCCCAAAAAGGGAATGTCAATCATGTTATAGCCCACATAATGCTCTCTGTGTTAAGCTTATTATTACACACTTGCTGCATGCAAACTGCATTATTTGACATCAACACATCTTACTTAATTTTGTTTCAAGCTTCATTTTGTGGTTTGAGGGTAAGTTTATAAGCATTGTGAATTAGTGCATGTTATAATCACGCAAATAGTAGTTACAGTTTATCTGCTAAGAGCGTTATTTATTCAAATTTTAATATTGACCCGCTAACCACATTATATCAAGTCCCTCCTTCCTTGAGACAAGTTGGGATAGCGTTTGATTCCCCCTCCCCAAGCGTTTGTTGGTTTTAAATTTGATGGTGTAGGCCTATGTTACCTTAGGTACATTGTTTTTTGGATTGTGACTCTAATCGGCAACAAACAAGTTAATTTCTGCCGAATAGGCCTGCTAATAGTGTAGTGTAGTGTCCAGTGTGTATTTGGTTTTGTGTGTAGGCCTGTCAGTAATCCACCCCTAAGGGTGGATTACTGACATAGGCCTACATACAACTTCATGTTTTATTATTTTGTTTTATTTCCTTTACATCCAACATCAGCCTCACTCGCCACTTACCGGGATGGAACGATGCTTTATAAACCACGTAAGTCTCTTTGTGAAGCTATGGTGGGGTTTTAATTCGTGAGAAATGGTCCTGCTGATATGAATTGAACCCAGGACCCTTGGATTAGAAGGAAAGCATCTTAACCACTAATCATTCCACTCCACTATTTGAAAAATTACAAGGCAAATAGGCCTAATTATGATATATTTATTTTTTTCTTTATTTCCTTTTAAATAGGCATTTTTGCCATTGCATGAAGGGTAGTAAATGAAAAACCGAAGTACGTCACCTAAACATGATATGAATCCAACTGAGGAAAATATTGAATAAAAAAAAAAATCCACGTTTACTACCGTGCCTAATCGCAAATGACAGTTATCTAATTACAATAATCTCACCTCACATTTACTCACTGCCAAACGATTATAGAATAACACCATTGATAGCCAAGTGAGATTAAAAGAGCACTCAAACGTGTAATGGCTACCAAGAGAATTATTCTTTAATCCATTATAATCTCCCCGTTGGTGATATCCATGGTTCGAGTGTGATATTAGGAATCATTAGGGATTCCAAAAATCTACCACTTTATGGAATACTAATTATATAACTTAAATAATTCGCTCCCTTAATTTATACAGCTACTTGAGTGAATCGTCACAATGAGTACTTAATGAGTATGCGATTTAAAAATCTAAAACACGCCTCAAACCTTTTAAGATATATAAAATAATGAGGTAAATTTCTTTAGAAACGGTCGAGACCAGAACATACCTCCGAATTCAAATTGACAAAGATTGAAATTATGTTAATTATAGACACAATGTATAGTAAGACAAGCCTAGAAAACCGTATACATATGTAACCCAATAATTGAGTTTTAGTACAAAAAATGTGTGTAAGTATTGTGTTATAAAATTAATATAAATGAACGAAATTCGGAGCGGGTTATAATAGTTAACCGAAAGTTATACTGCAACGTTAATAACTCATTATTATATTTTACGTTTGTGTAATAAATTTTGGACACTAATCATTAGAGGCCAAGTTTTCAAGCCTATCACGTTTCATAATTTGTACGTGATTTCCAAAACTTCTTAAAATAGGCCTATAAAGAAAGTAGAAAAAATAAATTACGCATTAGATTAAATAACAAAAGTTGAAATTCAAATGGTCTTCTAATTAAAGACCTCTTCAATTGAAGATCACTTTGGTCCCAAATTAACAAATATCTTTTATCTTTATTAATTATTAGATCAATTACAACTAAACTAATTTAAAAAAAAAAGAAAGAAAGATTGAATTAGTTGTTAACTTCTTACGAAAAACAAATCACAAAACTTAAAAATAAGTCTTTGTTGATTTACAGGCATTTTAATACAAAAATACAAAATACGCCACGGGAATAGCATTGCAGTACCCGCTGCTACTCATGGATCGGATTTATCCCTAGCCACTAAGTTCTAGCCACAAACATCGTTTCGTATTATTTTTTCTAACGAAAATACGCCATCAGAATAACTTAATTCTATTCAGGGATTTATTTCTTCAATCTCAAATTATGCATCCGGAGGAAGGATTTTTATCTTCCTTAATTCAGTGTAGGTTAATTAGAATGAATGTAAATATTCTTTTCAAAGGACAGGGTAATATTAGAACAGCTTCGATCTCTTTATATTCATCTGTCCAGTCCAACCTTTTAAGAGGAGTTTACGTGCAATTTTACTGTGAAGCAGAGAGACAAAGGGAGGCGCTATTATATATATATATATATTTTTAATAAAAATAAGTCACTGTCATGTCATATCGCCATAACGAAAAGTTAATATTCATTCAAATTGATCATTATCAAAATCATTTTAATCAGGTCAATGTCATTATCATAATGCGCGTAGGCGTACATGCGCTTGTTAGTGCTCGCGCATTTTTTTTAATCGTGTCCAAGTCGTCTTAAAATATTTTGAGGGTGTTTTTCAGGCATTTTAGCATAAATATATATATATATATATATATA